TTACATCAGGCCCACCGACGCCAGCGCAGATGCTCCATACATTTCCATTCATTAGAGACACAGTGGAGAATGTGGCGTAGTCATGTGACAAGGGAGGCATGCAATTGGCTGGTGAAGTCATCTATTCCTGTTTGTCTATATTTCTGGGGATTTTAAGTTAGTCTTATTGCTGTTTTTCATCCTGTGTATAACTGCAGAAGACGACCGTATACCCTACGTGGGCTTGCTGTTCATTAAATATAGTTATTTATTCATTTTCAATTTTGTTATTGTTTATTGATATAGGGACAAGTATGTAGCATGAACAACATTTATAGCCTAATCAAGCCTAAACCAATTTGCTATGGCCATCCCCCATGGGCCTTTAACATACATAAAACAAACTCAATAATAAGTATAATTAACTAATGTCACAAAGTTTCATTAACGTCTGTTTTTTTCTTTCTTTTTATCCACCTTACAGCCCATAGTGATCATATAGGAATGACTGTCTTTCAATCTGTATCTCTCTGTGTACCACTTAACATTCAGTGTCATCCATTCTCTGCTGTTGCCACTCTTCCTCTGTCTTTGTTGAAAATGATTACTGTGGTTGGGCTCCCCAACTGGTGTGTTTATAAGGGCTCTATCTTTAGACTGGAGCAGCTAAAACACTCCAGTTCTCTTCAGTGGTTGCCATGGAAACGGGAGTGCCAGCCTAACGGCACTAAAGTAATACTGGTGTGTTGAAGATAGGGATCATAATGAAATGATGAAAATAACTAAGCAATGAATGTCTGAATGAGTGAGTGGGTTTCCTTGCTCTTTGCATCACTGGTGCTCTTAGATTGGGTTAATCATGTTAACAAGAGGCTTTCAATCACAACTTTTAAGAAGTCCTAGGAATGGAAATTATCAATGAATCAGTTATCTAAGTTACAAACATGTCTTAAGGACATAAAAACCTGGATGAAAAAAAAAGACCCCCGAAATTCTTGTACTTGGCGCCCAAAAACCTCAGAGACTCACTGTCTAAACATATAGTTACTCTAGATGGCATTACCTTGGCCTCTAGTGCCACTGTCAGGAATCTTGGAGTTATCTTTGAGTCATTTAATTCCCACATAAAGAAGACCTCCAGGTTTGGATGAAAAAGTTGGTCTTGTAAGGGATTATACAGTCTCCACTAAGAAGACCTTTTAGCCTTGGTGTTTTGAAATATTCTGCTTGATGAAAGTACTAAGAGGTAGGGGATCTTTGCTTTAAAATTCTTAAGCATCAAGCAAGCGTCAGTGGTTTGACAATGTCTTGGATTTAGGATGACCCTGACCCTTTCGTAGAAGAGTAGGCAAGTCAGTGCCTTGAATATGACAGCCACTGGTAGCCAGCCAGCAGCGAGTTGCAGTAGTAGAGATGACAAGAGCCAGATGGACTAGAACCTGCGCTGACTTCTAGGTGATTGGATGTGTCGTCCTGATGTTGTGGAGAATGAATCTGCAGGAGCTCTGTACTTCCAAAGCGGCAAGCCGACAAGCATAAACATTTCTTGGCAACCAAGTCACAGCAAGAATGTATGACTCTGCAAGCTCATAGTCTGACACAGTGACCACTGACAGTCTGATTTCAGCCTAAGTGGATGTTTAGACTGAATTTGAACAATACAAGGGGCTACATTGGTGGGTAATTATCAGTTGGAGTAACAGATCCAAAAGATAGTGTATGGTGGAAATGTTGGAATTTGATCCCCTGAGCCCTCTAAATGGACCTCTCCTAAGTCCTGCCCCCGTATGCTCTGTGCTCCAATGACAGTTGAGCAACCTTCGGTCAGAACCTCGGCCAACTTCCTCCTTTCCTGTACTTAGATATGCTAGGCTAATCTATGTTAAATGTTAAATGGACTTTACTTATATAGCGCCTTTCTAGTCTTTCGACCACTACATACTCGTAGAGTGTGCACAGCATCGGGAGCAATTTGGGGTTCAGTGTCTTGCTCAAGGGACAAGCAGCGAGAGGAGCCTTGGATCAAAATGGCAACCTTCCGATTAGTGAATGACCTACTCTACCTCTGAGCCACAGCCATGTTGACAAGACAACCACATTTGGAAGATGGTTAAAAGATAAAATCAACATATAGTCACATTTTAAGTTTGATAATGTTAGCAAAAGGTTAGCTAACTAATGACTTATGTAAATTAGCAGGCTAGTTAGCTAATGTTTTGCTAACAAATAAGCAAATAACTTAAGAGGTGGCTGTAGTGACGTATAGCTAACTAGTTAACTAACAGGCAATAAAACCCCCCAAAATATCTGAAAAAACTAATTACAGGAAAGGAGAAAGTTCACCCAGGTTCTGACCAAGACTTGCTCAACTTTGGAGCACAGCGCAAAAAGTGGAGGAACTTAGGAAGGGTCAATTGCCCATTGAAATGAATAAGTGAGAATTGTTTTTTCAGAGCCAAAGTCAGTTTGAATATGTCCTGGGTCATCAGCTCTTGGTCTCAGATTTCTGGCTTTTCTAACTCAACTTATCAGATCGGCTGTCCAGTATGTAAAAAAAAAGGCCTTTAGTATCCTGCAGCTCAAGGAATACTGTTCTTTGATACAAAACCTATCAAAATATGGGGGATCCCATCTTAGTTGATTGTATAAATGATTTTGATCAACCCAAAATGGACAAACTCTAGAACCCAGAAATGTCAGCAGTGGCAGTAATTAGCATTAAACGTATACTGTCATTCTGCCATTATGACAAACATACTGCCTGAAAAGCATGCATTCCTTCTCTCTGGTCTGGCTACCAACCATGTACAAATTTGGAGTGGGGAATGTTGCTATGGCAACAGCAACCTCTCCAATTAAAGCTTTTAGGTAGAGCAGTATTTCAAAAGGAATTCAAGAATGAAGCACCATTTTCAAATAATGAAGTTGTATCAGATGGACGGATGGCTTCTGCATTAACATTTGTGGAAGTCTGACAACCTGAATGCTCACAGTGAGTGTGCCTTCCATTGTTAAAGCAAGAGTGTTTCAGCTGTATCATTGGCCCCTGCAGGAAATCTGGAGTTGAGTCACAAAGAGAATGACATGCACACATACATATAAATGCTGACTGCTCACTCTTTGAAGCTAAATATGGAGAGGAGCGGTACACTAATTGCATGTCAGCGCTGATGTCTGTGCATGTCCATCATGAGCATGGACAGCTGAACACACACACACACACAGACACACACACACCTATGCATACATATTCAGATAGACATTTCCCCCTGTGATGGAGACTAAACTGTATTTTTAAATTTATTGTCTTTAAATATGATGATCTAGCATCCTAAAAACACTGTTTTGCTACGCAAAAAAGAGACATGCACAGGCCATGAGAAGCTAACTTAGAGGTAGGGCTATGGAGCAATGTTTTTTACGAGCACGTCCCTGTTTTGCCTTTTTTGTGCACAGGCATGATTTAAAACCACCGGACAGTCTTCCGGCTATTCTCTTCAGAGAATTTGCAGCTCACTGGAAATAGACTTACTTATTTACAGATAAAATTGGCATCTATGGAAAGGTTCTTCTTGTACAACCACAAGCAGAGGAGAAGTTTATGGTGACATAGCCAGAGTAAAGTTTATTAAATGACCTTCTGGTGGATGGAATGATGAACATAAAACACCAGTGACTATATTGCATGGTAAAGGCTGATGATTATTCTATATTTTTCTTCTGGTCAAGAAATTTTATGTAAAACGATGATGAATGTATTCTTCTAACAAGAAATGTGTGTATCACAGCCTGACTTTTTCCTCTATGCCATCAAAAACACATCATGGAGCCACACTGTTGCACTGGGTGACATGTTCTGTTATTAACATGACTCAGTGGTACACTGTCCTGTTACATGAAATACCATGTATGTGTTACTGTAAGAGAGCTGGACATGGTACATTGAGTCAGCCTGGCTGCCAATTAGCTCCAGCTGACAACTGCAACAAGAGAATCTATAAGGGTCCAAAAAGCATTTTCCCCATATATTTAGTACACATTTGCAAAATGTGCAAAAGCCTTCCCTATTAACTTTGTAGTCCTTAGATTTACTACTCTAGAGTGTCCAAAATCTGAATGACATCATCTCATAGTGCCCTCAATAACTAACAGTGGAATGAAAAAGAAGTTTCCATTACTTTTTGCTTTCCACAATACAATATGTTGCATTTTGTAGATGGTAAATGGTAAATGGACCTTGTATAGCGCCTTTGTAGTCTTTCAACCACTCAAAGCGCATTTACACTACATGCCACATTCGCCCTTTCACACACATTCACTCAACCGAAACTAGAATCAACAACCTTCCGATTAGAGGATGACCCACTCTTCCTCTGAGCCACAGCCGCCCTGTAGTAGGCAGTGGTCTTTACGTGGGACTTGTGGACAATAAGAAGATAGAATAACACCAATCTTATCCTTTAAAGGACCAGGTTTACTCCCTCGCTTCACCCTCCCTTTCCAAGCACGAAGGAGAAACTATGGTGACCGTGTGTGTAGGCTTTAGTGGCATCTAGTGGTGAAGTTGTAGATTGCAACTAACTGAAAGCGCCCATCTCAACTGAGCATGTAGGAAGAACAACAGTGTCCACAAAATAACAAAAAATGCGGCACAATCTAGATCCAGTATTTGGGTTGTCCATTCTAAATAAATAAAACGATTCTTATTTTCAGGTGATTATACACTAATGAAAACAAACCTATGAACATTATTTCATTGCTGACAATAGATCCTCCTAAATGTTACATACCTAACCTTTAAGGTGGTAAGCAAGTTAACAAGTAAGTAATTATCTCTATATGAGAAATGGATGGAAAAAATAGGACAAATCAAATCTTTGTAGCTGTTTATAGTACTGCAGCATTAATGCAGCATATACCTGTATTGAGTGTGTGTACATTTGTGGAGCAATTGTTTGGCAGAGGTATTTCAGGCACATGGTTGGGCTCTGTGACAGACTCACAGATAAAGACAGAGAGAGAGGGAGAGAGGGAGGGAGTCTTCCCAGTCAGTCTGAATCTCTATCAGCCTACACAATCTCCCGGCAACCTTGGGCTCAGTAATGTTGGATACGCTGCGAGGGTAAGCTCTACCTTCCACACAAGCTCTGCTATCACCTGCTTGAGGACACACACAGCGCACACCCGGTGAGTAGACCTCTTTATCACTGTTACTGTTTGCATTTGCCACACTAATGTAGAGCATCTATTTGAAGCTGAGGGCTTTCAAGGGGTAGATACTCTTGTCAGATCACAGAGATTACCACTGCTGTGTTGTTAACTACTCTCTGTACACAGTTTCTAGCATAATTCAGTTACACAGAGGTAACTTGTTGTTGTTACAGGAGCTAAAATGAGACATAAGGGTCTTTTGATTCTATAATCTTTTAATTCCTTTAAGCTGTCGGCTGCTTGCAGCCTCCCAGCGGGGCGGTCTGGCTTTAACTAACAAGTACTTTTACTCAGAGATGGACACACACTCAAGTTGAGGAGCTTATAAAGTCACTATGACATCATATTTTTATACTCTTCAGAAATCACATTTAAAAAGAATAATTATAAGAATTATAACAATAAAAATAATATCTTTAGAGCTGACAATCTGAAAAATTGCATGTATTTGTATGTAATTCATTTATGTAAACAGACACATACGCAACTCCCACATACCTGCTGCTGTTCTGGGCTCCCTACAGAAAATCAGTCACCCTGAGCCCTTTCCCTCCCACTCATCCCAGTAAGATCAACATTTCAGCACATGTGGCAGAGCAGGGGAGGGAATACACTGATGAAGTAGAGAGCTTGTTTTCACACCTCTATCAGGACCTGAGATCACACTGCTGTTATCTTCATTCAGATTCAGATTCAGATTCAGAAATACTTTAATAATCCCAGAGGGAAATTATTTAGTAATTATTATTATTTATTATTTATTATTTACTTCATACAAAGTACATCCAATATAAACATGTTCAAGTGACTTATTCTTTAATAGATTAAGAAATTCATAAATTGCTTTAGAGATTTAGTGTCATAATCCAGGATTTTGTTCAGTACAGATCTTAAATCAGGATAGGGTTAGCCTAGTTTAGCATAAAGACTGTAGGCAAGGCAACACAGCTAGTCTGGCTCTGTCCGAAGTTGGCACCAAGAAATAGTTTCAGCACTGACCTTGCTCTAAAACCATACACTGTCATTTTTAAATTTGTGTTGTGTTACAGAAACAGATCCAACCTAAACTAAGCTAACATTTGTTCTGGTCTCTCTCTCTCTCTCTCTCTCTCTCTCTCTCCCTCCCTCTTTCCTGTCTATTTTCACCAGGCAGAAAGCCCCAAAACATGATCTAGTTTCACGAAAATCAGTGACGCAGTTGGTGGTGTGTGACCATTGCCCTAGTGTTACGCACTTGTTCCAACCTGGAAATAAAAGTTATAGTACAAGAACAGGCATTTGGGGTGGAGAGTGGGAATACCAGAGGCACCATTCACCCTTTCACAATGAAGCTGTTATTTATAGCTTATAAAGTTACATAATTGAGCTTTAAGACCAAACAGAGCTTTAGTGAATATTTAGGGATGAGCAAGAACACAATTATCTCCATTCATATTCGGAGTGGGCGGGGCTTAGATGGAAAGGGACTATACAGAAGTTGTTAATTTAAGCCTGA